CGAAAAATACGCATTTACTTGAAAAATGTTCCGAACAAAAGTTGTAGGATTTTAAGGGGCGCATTACATAGCATGGTTAGTGTGACCTTGGATAGTGTTGTTAAGGACACGGAAAAATCAATTAAAAGTTTTTAAATGGAAACTCCTATTTTTGATTATATATTCTTATAGCTGACCTCGAGAGCTTTCCAAAACACTATAATAGAGTATTTTTTCATTGAGTACTTTTCGAGTTATGAAACTTGCAATAATTTTTTAATTTTACATAAATCGTAAAATATCTTGTAAAATATTCATTTTTCGATTATCTTACCTTAATACTTTTATGTACAAAATAATGAGAGGAATCAATTGGTGTAAAGGAAACACATAGTTGTTTTTAAGAAACAATATGTAATTGTTAATTGCAAATTACATATTTTTTCTTCGAAACAACTATGTGTTTTCTTTACACCAATTGATTCCTCTCATTATTTTGTACATAAAAGTATTAAGATAAGATAATCGAAAAATGAATTGTTTACTAGATATTTTATGGTTTACGTAAAATTAAGAAATTATTTCAAGCCTTATAACTCAAAAAGTACTTAATGAAAAGGTACTTAATTATAGTGTTTTGGAAAGCTCTCGAGATAAGCTACAAGAATATGCAATGAAGAATAGGGGGTTCCATTTAAGAAATTGAAGGTAACCTTTATGTGACCTTCAAATGACTATCCAAGGTCAAATTTTTGCCACCCATCTTCTGTCCCCCTCGAAGTCAAGCAACTTTTATTTGAAACATTTTGTTGTACATTCAAATATAAAAAAGTTATTGGGGTGGATAAATTAAAATGGCTCACTCTGTATATAATTATATATAATTATATTTAAATTTATCTAATTGTATATAATTATTTATAAACTTCTTTTTCCAGGATATTTGTATTATATCCTATTATAAAGTAGTGTGTGTGTGTGTGTGTGTGAGACTGAAGTTAGACTTATTAAGCTACATCTTTATTATAATAAAAACATTTTTCTTATTTTTTTTGTATCTTCGTGTAATAAATATATAATATGATATAAATAGTTTGTATAAATAATCCTTCTTAATGACTCTTTTAGGAGAAAAATGTCAATTTATATAAATATGATTTTTCATTCTTTGGCACGTGTTGATGATTAATATACTCAAACATTAAAGTCATTTAATTTGCGTATTTGCTAAGCATGCTGAAAACCGTAACTGTTCCAATCATGGAATGCATGCGATAATTCTGGCATTCTCAGGAAAAACTCGATTATAAAACATTAAGATTATAGAGCGATACACGCGCGACGAGAACGGGCACGTGGAAGGCCGTCTTACGTCATTCTGTCCCGCTCTATTAAAGACGCGAATGCCTCCGTGTACGCGCCGACCTGTATAGATGTAGGAATACATGCACACACTGACATTGTTTTAATGCCGCGGACATATTAATGATTGTACGCAGTTAAGCATAGAATTTTTTTTTAATTTTTTATTAAAACTATATGAATGATGAAAGCAGTAAAACTCGAGATGCATCTGAACATAGTAAATCTTTGTATGTAATTTCGGATTTCCGGAAAACATTGAAATCAGAACGATATGACATAGAAGAAAGAAAATATTTTATCGCACATTTATATATATGATTTAAATTAATACTAATTCATACACTTAATATTATCTATAACAATAATCCGTAAAATAATAGTCTTTATTAGTTTTTTTATCATGATTATATCTGAGATATTATTAATCTTTTTTAATTTGTAAAAGTATGTCTTTTTAACGCTGCTTATATTAAATGTCTTTAATCAGGTTTATTTTCTGTAAATGGTAAATACATATGGTAGAGAGGTTCTAGAATTATGGGATGTTGTATTCTTTTGAGAGCAAGTTGGAACCGATTTTTTTTCAAGAAAATGTAAAGATATTTGTAATATAATTATAGTCCTGTGTATAATTAGCTGTAGAAAAATAAAGATTTTTTGCGGAACACATATTGATAAGATAAAGTCTAATAAAATTTTAATTGAAATTTAAAGTTTTTGTTATATTTGTTATATTTTCATTATCATTTTTGTCGCTATTTTATTTTAAATTTTCTTTTGAAATTCCTTCCTTGTAAATCTTATTAGAAATTGAAATCTTGAAGAATTTTGAGGAATTATTTAATTTTTTTTTAAATACATATTTGTGTTATAGAATATATATTTTTGTGTGCGTGTTTTTATTGTAAATGTTTAAATTGAAAAAATAAAAAATGTAAGCATTATAAAAAATTATAAACAACTATATATAATATAATTGTTTATATTATAATTGTTTATATTATTATAAAAAACAATTTCATATTATAGATTATATGAAAACAAATGTTTAATATGTTATAATAATTATTTTGTATCTACTTATACTGGATATTACTTTTAATTAACAGCATCTGTTTAGGATAGATATTTAACAATCTTTTTATTTCTTTATATTTTATCTCTTTCTCTCTCTCATCATCCTTTTTTTATCTTTCTCTCTATACAGATAAATACATATAAACTCACACACATTAAAAAAAATATATTCTATATTATTATAATTGTGACATAAATATTTTCAACATAAAATACAAAATAAAGTAAAATGTGAGATAAAAAGGTAATGAATAGAAAACTCTGAATCACGTTGCTAAAAAATAATGTTAAGTACTAATGCATAAAGATTAAAATAAATATATAATATAATATATTTGTGTGTTCTAATATTATAACATATTATACAATTGTATATGATATATGTGTATATATATAAATATATATATATATATATGTATATTAAAAAAAATATATTTATATATGTACTAAATTTCTAATATATTTATCTCTCGTATATATATATATATATATATATATATATATATATATATATACGAGAGATAAATATATTAGAAATTTAGTACATATATAAATATATTTTTTTTGTTACTTTATTATATTTGTTCTCTCATATAATATATTGAAAGCAAAAAGGGATGGCCAAATTTTACTAATTATGTACTTTTTAAAAATGAATTAATTATTAAATTTTAAGTTTATATAAATATAAAATGTTTTGAGTGAAGTAAAAACTCGCGGCAATTAAAATCATTTGAATTCAAATTGATTAAGATTGCAGTGAATCAAACAATAATTATTAGAATTATTGTATTTATTGAATGGAAGCTGGTTAGCAACGATGAGAAAATTCGGATTTAATTCGATTTGCATTTTAATATTTCTAAGAATTAGATCTATTTAAATTTTCAAATTGAAAGAAAAACAATTCGAAATAATAATAATGAATAATAATGAATACTAATAATTTCCCCTTTTTTGTCTTTTTTGGAAATTTATTTAATTTTTAATCTTTAATATTTAATTTTTAATCTTTAATCTTTTGCATAAAAACACATTCATCACATAACAACACATTTATACACGTGGCAACTGTAAAGTTCAATGACTCTAGCTTATGTATCTACATGTATTCTCTTAGTTAGCATATTAAAGAGAGATCGATTCTTTTAATCTCTTACAACTCACTTTTTTATAGCAACCATTTTCTTTTATCAACTTATTAACAAACTTTTCTTTTATCAACTTATTAACTAAAATTTTATATGCGAATTTATAGGCTTTGATATTACATATAATGATACTGTATTTGTATAGGAAAGACAATAATGATCATCGATATGAATAGCAATCTATATAATAAAATGTATGAGCACAAATAAAAGTAAATATTTATCTATTCTCATATCTATATATCTCATATCTTATATCTATATGTAACATTATTTTTGACTGCTTATAATTTTTATAAAATAATTTATTTTTATAAAATTTTTATAAAATTTTTGTATTAAAAAAATCTTCAATTTAAAGTATATTTATTTTTTTCTATTTTGTAAATGATAAATTTTTATCATTTATTTATCTTTCATTAATTTTTTCTTAAGTTGTATATAAATTGAATAATAAAATTATTTTCATGTATATTATTGTACATAGTTAAAAGAATTACATGGGGAAGTTCCATATTTCATAGAAATTAAATATTTCTAATAAAATAATTTTTACAATTTTATATTTTGGTTTAAGAATTTTTTATATAGTATAATAATATATGCACACCATATTCTGTAAAAAGATATGATTTCATACTTATTATTAACTTTTTCAATAATATTTATAAAAATTTTTCATTAATATCTTACTGTAACATATAATAATCTCAAATATGCTATGTATATGTATGTGTATATGTATTAAAATTTTATAAAATCTATATTTGTTATTTTATTTTTGATTTCTGTATATATATGTATGGCTGTAATAATAATATACGAATACAAATAAAAACAAATATTTATCTTTGTAATTTTTATATTTATATTTTTATATTATTAAGATTACTTTTGAGTGTTATATAATTTTTATAAAACGTATCAAAAATCTTTAATTTAAAGTAAATTTATTTATACACTCTTGTATCACATGTTGAATTTGACAATCACTCTTACGATAGAGAGACATAAACAGCAATTTTAACAAAAAATATCACTTTCATATTTCAAAACCTAAACATTACAAATTTCGGATATTTATCTTAGAATCATTGTAGAGAGAAAATCATATCTTATAGGAAATATTAAAATTTTTTTCTTATATTCTTCTTATTACATTTTTTCTAAAATCTGGCACAAAAGGATCACTGATGGTAACAATGCAAACACTTGATGTATCATGAAGTTCAATCTACGTTTATTTTGACACGTATCCCCGATTCTTTCAAATACATTCTCTCAAAATCGACTTACAAAGGCAACTTTCATAGTCAAAATTAAAGAGCACGTATATATATCAAGAGATATAAACTCATCTTGATAAAAATCGAAAATTCAGAATATACAATTAAAAGTTATCGTGAGAAAGCTTGTGCTGATACCTACAAAGAACCGTCACTCAATGTCGTCGTTCCTCTATCATTGATCTACACGCGCCGATGGTCGCAAACCGACTAATTATGCTAGGCAGTCGCCATATTACTTAGTTGATGTCGAGGACACATTATAGTTACGCACGCGCGTTATGTCGGTTGAAATATATGACTCGAATTGGCGCGGATGTATTATATCACAATGATAAAAGGAATGACACGCGTGTCCTCACCTTATAGGTCTCGTTCTGGATGTTGAAACATTTCGTAGTAAAATTTACTAATTGAGACGCGGGATGACTTCAGTAGCGCGATAGCGCTAGTCTGAATTTGAATTAATAGAAATCGAATGTTCTTTATAAAAATACCTACGAAAATATCACTTTCAAAGCAAAGAAAGATCTATATAGCTATAGTAACGCTTAAATACATGTGAATAATACATGTTATATTATACATGTGCATATATAATACATATATGTACATATATATATATGAGAATATATAAAACATTGTTGTAATCTGACCTTTTACTCACTGACCTATTAAATATTGTTTATTATAATATAGTACAACAAATAATGGTAAATTTTCGGAAAACCCACTTATATGAAATAATGGATAAGAATACCCAATTCCTATGTATTTTTACCTCTTGAACACGAATATGAAACTTAAAAATAGCCGTCAGACTCGCAAGTCGAAAAAAAACGCAAAATATCAATAAACTTTTGGAAAACGTATATATGAAATAGTAGTTAAGAATATCCAATTCTTACGTATTTTTATCATCTAAACACAAATTTGAAACTAAAAAAATGGCTTTTGAAACAAGAAACAAAAAATAGCAGCAAAGAACGCTGAAAAACGTAAAAAAGCCAATGAAAATCAGTGTTAACTAAACATTAATGTTACACTCAGGTTAGGTTAGGTACTTTCAGGATGCGTCAAGTGTGTGTGTGTGTGTGTGTGTGTGTGTGTGTGTGTGTGTGTGTGTGTATGTTTTTTTCATAAACTTACTATTTTAGTTGTTATATAAAAAAATAATTATTTTAAATACATTTAATACAATTAAAAAATATCACAAATGTATGTGTACACACACACACACACACACACACACACGCGCGCGGAGGATGCAAGGGGGGGCCTTCGACTCCCCCTCCCGCAACCACTCCGCCGGTAGGGGACGCTTTTCAAAAAATTCAATCATAATGGATATATGCTGTAAGTTGTAAAGTGAGGTCCACCATGCCTACTGGCGGGGTAGTTGCAGAAAGAGTAGGGGCCGAAGGCCCCCCTTGCACCTCCCGCGTGTGTGTACACATATATTTGTGATATTTTTTAATTGTATTAAATTGCATTAAATTCTATATAAATTTAAATTGTTTACCTTTTTTTTATTTACCTTTAATTTACCTTTTTTGATCGTCATTTTTAAGTTTCAGGAGGTAAAAATACGTAATTGGATATTCTTATCCATTATTTCACATAGATGGGTTTTCCGAAGGTTTACCCAAATAATGTATATGTGTGCCGCGTGTGGATGCGTGCGTGCGTGCGTGCGTGTGTGCGTGTGTGTGCGTGCGTGCGTGCGTGCGTGCGTGCGTGCGTGCGTGCGTGCGTGTGTGTGTGTGTGTGTGTGTGTGTGTGTGTGTGTGTGTGTATTATACAGGATGATTCCTCTGCAACAAACTGTAAGGGATAATAGATCTTGTAGAAAGGAGCATTTTTGTCAAACAACTTATGTTCTTTGACGCGTCGTTTAAGCTATGCGACTGCGAAGGTCTTAGATGACATTCATGACGATTATGACTTCCTTACTTACTTTAAAGACGGTGCTCAAAGTGCCTACCCTAAATTTCATTGCATTTATGGCATCGTCGTAATATCGATTGGCGGACATAACATCGAAGCGCATGCGGCGCTTCAACGTTACTTTTGACTAGTGCCCCGCTCACTGCTTCGCCACGCATCCTAATATCAAATTACAGTAGCTTTTCTCACTGTGTGCTTCTACTCACGCGATCTTCAATTAATATCTCGAAATTTTACGTAAATGTTTGCAAAATGATATAGGACTTTTTAGTTTGGTTTAACGAGATCTACTTATGATTTTTTCTTGGCAGATGATATGACAGACACCCTGTATACATATTATGTGTAAAAATAGAAATTATTTTGTGAATAAATTCAAGTTTTATAATAAATAATTATATGTATATTCATTTTCCAATTTAAAAGAGATCGCACTTGGCTAAGTCCCGCATGAAAGAAATTCTTTTATCGAAAAGGGAACATTGAACGAATGTTTGAATAGGTATAATGGACACCTCTCAAACGATCGTTTATTTATTTTTTAGACCTTATTGTTTGTTCGACCTAAGTCACTTTTCCATTGATTGCGTGACTTTGGAAGTATAACTGTTACATCTTTTCTTTGACTTCGTTTCTTGACTATCGTTTGCCCAGTCTAGATAACAATCCCTCTAAAAAATCTTATAAAGGTAAAAAATTACGGCAAGTACATAAAAAATATTCTACCTTGTATGCAACAAAATGTTTAATAAAAAAAAGTTCTTAAAAATAAATTACAATAATTTTTCCACAAAAATCATTTTTATAAAAAAATAAAACCTTAAAGAATAATTTCCCTAAAAAAATACTAAAAAATAAAATATCAAAACTAAAATAAGAAATCAATAATTACTATTAGCCAAGTACTTAAGAGCAATTTGTAAATTTGATAATATTTGATAATATAATATTTGCCATCAATATATTTGAAATCAATTTTACATTGTAGAAATATTATACATAAATTCGCCCTAAGAAATTAAAACGCATTTTATATTTATTCAGAGAGACTTAATTTTTAAAATATTTTTTTTATGTACTTGACGTTACGACGCTACTACGTCGCTTGATATATAAAGTGTTAATTTTAAAATGTTCCATCTGTTTATTTCACAATTGATTATTTTTTGGGAAAAATGCTAAAAGATGTCAATTTTATTTTCAAGGGAGACATTTAAGTACGTTAAATTTTTTTATCGTCTTCGTCGGAGTAGCTACGCCTTCATAAATCTTAAATGGCAATATGAATCAAGTGATATATGATTTTAAAGGTCCTTTGATTCTTTGTACAACTCTGTTTCTTTTTTTTAAGTGAGAAATCACACTTGAAAGTTTTAAGTGTCAAAAATGTTTTGGCAAATGTTTTCTTTAGGTTACATAGCTCGAAAAATTTTTATTTTCACATATGTTGTAGAGGCTACATTCCTAAGTAATATATCGTTTAAATTTTGTGACTTCGTACGGGTTATATCTTTTGAAAGTAAAGCCCCCCCCCGTAGGGGGAGGCGGAACATGCGGTGTCCACGCATGTACTTTGCAAAGCAAAGGAAGTTATATACAAACACTTATTAAAAGTTTAGGTAAAATAAAAAGAGCAATTTTTACTTAACAAAACTAAACAATAATTCTATAGCTTAATGAAATGAAAGTGACAACGAGTAAACAAAAAAATATAAACACATAAGTAAAATATAATATAAAACTATGATGAGCAAATGTAAACAAAAAATGTAAACACATAAATAGGATATAACGAAAAGATGACAAAAGTATAAAACTTCATAAGTGCATAACTTAAAAACTAAAGGAGTTTCAAAATTCGTTGCAAAATTCAAACGGTGTATTACTTAGGAATGTATCTTCTACAATATATGTGAAAATGAAAATTTTTTGAATTGTGTAATCTAAAATAAACATTTACCAATGTTTTATATAAAAAGATATAATTTGGAGTAGAATTTATTTATTTGTCATTTATTATAACAAATGTCAAAATGCTCCATTGTTTTCTAAATAATATATAAAGAATTCTCAAATTCTGAATGGACATTTTGAAAAAGACTTTATTCTGTGGAGATACTTAAAATCCATTGTTTATGAAACACCAGTGATAAACGATTTGCGTTGAAAAATTGTACAAGAATACTATTCCTGTAAAAACATTTTAATATGTTCGTTCAGAATTTAAGAATCGTTTATATTATTGTTTAGAAAACAATATAGACCCTTTTTAACATTTATTGTAATGATGAATAAATTGTACTCCAAAAGGTATCTTTGTATGTAAAACACTTTTGATACCTAAAACTTCTAAATGCGATTTCTCGAAAAATAATTCATTTAAATAAAAAAAAAGAAAGAATATACAGAGAATCAAAATATCTTTTTTTTAAATATATCACTTTTTTAATATATCACTTGATCCCTATTGCTATTTAAGATTTTTGAAAAGTAAAAAAAAAAGCTATTCCGACGAAAAGGATGAAAAAATTTCGTTGCATTTAATGTATTTATATATTCCCCTCTAAAGCAAAATTGATGTATTTTTTCGCAAAAAATAGCCAATCATCAAAACGGATAGAAAATTTCAAATAAACATCTTGTATACATAAGCAATATGTACATATACATATCAAATCACATTTTTCATTAATTCGTTCCTAAGCTCGCGGTAAAGAAAACGATAAAATTATAACCATAGCGCCATCAATCGGCAATGGCTAACTGATGCTGATTTATAGACTTAATTATCGATTGCTGCAAAAAAATAAGTAAGAATATATCAGCCCCCTGACACTCTCTTGAAATCCTTTGTTACGGGATGTTTTCGTTGCATTTAATGTCCTAAGGCCACTACGTGGCGCTACTTGACATATGCCCTGTTATGTTTAGTTGTGAAGTTCGTTCAGTTTCATTAAAAAATCATTGACATTATCTATTGATATTATCTATTACGTAACTGGATATTTACCAAATTACATACTGAAATCAAATCAATCATAAAATGTGACATATGCAAAAATGCATTTATCAGTTCTACTACATGTTCTGCTTTTCCTGCAGCTTTACTACCCACATAGCACAAGACATCCAGCGGACGTCAAAATTATGTCCGTTTTATGTTGGAACGTCCATAGACATGTTACGAATGTCCTATGACGTCCGTTTATCCATTTGGATATCCATTACACGGCCATCAAAGGATATCCACTGGATGTCCAAAAT